CCCCCCCCCATGCATGTGCACACCTGATCTAGGTGTGCCTGACAGGACTGGAAGTGGACCTTTCTGAGGTGGTGCGGGCCTTCTGTCCTCAGGATCACAGTTCAGGGGGCTGGAGGGGCACCTTGTGTTGGACACTCTCCTGATACCTCACAGTCCTCAGTTGTGTTTGTATTTGAGGCCTTGGATTTTTTTCCCAACAGGTGTAGGGAACTAATTTCTTTCTCTCTTTTTTAGCTTGAAAACTATTTTTCTAGTCTGAAAAACCCAAAACTCAGGGTAAGTGTGTGTTTTTTTGTCTTGTAGCTTAGTTTCTGAGGTCCAGGCAGAATGAGGTGGAGTGGGGGACAAGTGGGAATATTGCCCTCCCTGCTGCCTGTCTTCTGCTCAGAGAGGTGCATGTGTGGTCTACTGCATGTGACACACCTCAGGAGCAACGTGTCCAGGTGCTGAGGTGGCGTGTCTGCACCCATGCACGTGAGCGTGGGGTGTCTGTAGACACGGGCGTGAGTGTGAGGTCTCTGCACCTATGAGTGTGAACGTGGGGTGTCTGTACCCATGGGCATGAGTATGGGGTGTCAGACTGGGTGTGAGTGTGAGGTCTCTGCACCCATGGGCGTGAGTATGGGGTGTTTGCACACGGGTGGGAGCGTGAGGTATCCCCACTACCTGAGAGCTGGCTCTATGTGCATTAGTGGTTTTGGGGTACAGTCCCTGCCTTAACTTCATCTCGTGTAAAACAGCAGGGTGTGGAAATGGCCGCTCCCCTGGCCCGAGCAGGTACTGAAGCCTTGTGTGTGCGCTTTGTAGGAGGAACAAGAGGCAGCTAGGCGCCGGCAGCAGCGTGAGAGCAAGAGCAACACGACCACTCCCACCAAGGCCCCAGAGAGCAAAGTGGCGGTCCCTGTGGACACCCCCATGGTATCTGCCCATCACTGTATATGTTTGTATGGGGGCTGGGGGGTGGCCCTGTGTGTGACTGTCTCGCCTTCGTCCCTGCCAGGATTCTGGTGCTGAGGATGATAAAGCCGGGGCCCCCACTCTCAAAAAGCCATCCCCCACGAAAGCTCGAAAGAAGAAACTGAACAAGAAGGGTCGGAAGATGGCTGGCCGCAAGCGCGGGCGCCCCAAGAAGATGAACACTGCGAACCCCGAGCGCAGGCCCAAGAAGAGCCCAAGCACACTGGACCTCCTGCACGCGCAGAGCGCGCAGAGCGCCCCGGCCTCGCCTCAGGGTGCGCCTGCTGGGGCTGCAATCCACGGAGCTGGGGGCGGGGGGGCCTGCAATGGCAGTACCCCCGAGATGTAGTGTGGCTGGGTTTGGGGTCCCTGCTGGCTGCAAAGTTGGTGCTTCTAAAACTTCGTGGAACACAGTTGCGCTCTCCACATGTGGGGGCCGCAGGAGTCTGGGTGTTTGTGGGTGCTCATGTGCTTTTCGTGTGTGTGTGTTTTTTTAATGTTTTATTGTGAATTATGTGGTAGTTTACATGGGAGAACAGTAGTTTACATTCATCTTGTCGTGTATCGTTTCATTGCTGTGGTTATAATCCCCTCCATGCATCATTAACCAACCAAAGGGTGTACCCTACAAGCCTGACCCCCGATCGTCAGCACACAGCCCGTCTCCCTCTATGTGTCTAAAGTCCCCAGCCGCTTCATCTCTCCATGTCATCGTCTCTGCCTCCATGTCTGGCATCACTGCTTCTCTGGGTAGGGTCCCGCTCTCCGCTCCTCTCCCTTGATGGCCCCAGGGACCTCCGCTCCTAGGCTGAAGAGTTAATCACTCTTCTTTTGCTACAAAATGTCTACCTTTACATTTCCAACCCTCACAAGCAATCCTGATAACAATTATTCGCTATTGTATCACAAGAGATCCATCCGCATTTCATTGCATCAGCCCCGACTAGACAGATTGGATACTACTCACTGGAGATTCTACCTTCCTCCAGGCCCTCTGGATCTAGGTTCCCTCTTGAAAGCTTGTAAGCCAGTCACTTCTTGCCTTTGTAGCCCCCC